CAGAACTTTAACCACAGGGCCACAGGGCCGGCCCCCCTGAAATCTGTATTTTAACAAAATCCCCAGAAGCAGTGGTTTAGGATATCTGAGGAGTGAGAGGGTACAGAGTCAGGGCTGTTTTTTAACCTTTCTCCCAGAGGATAACCTTGGACATCTTTATACCGAAAGAAAGAAACCAATGGAGGGGCCGGCCTGGTGGCATAGCGGTTAAGTGCTTGCGCTCCACTGCGGCAGCCTGGGGTTCACGGGTTCGGATCCCAGGCGCGCACCGATGCACTGCTTGTCAAGCAATGCTGTGGTGGCATCCGGTATAAAGTAGAAGATGGGCACGAATGTTAGCCCAGGGCCAGTCTTCCTCAACAAAAAGAAGAGGATTGGCGACAGATGTTAGCTCAGGGCTAATCTTCCTCTCACACACACACACAAAAATGCAAAAAAAAAAAAAAAGAAACCAATGGAGAAGGAAGAGGGAAAATATAGGAATGAGAGGAGATATTTGATAGAATAAAATTATGAAATAGGTTGAAGGGGTAATATGAAATAGATTGAAGGGGTAATGTCAACAGTGTGGGTGACTGGATTAGTCTTTAATGGGAGGAGCTTTCTCTTTGAGAAGGAGAAAGGAGGTGAAAATGGGTGTGAACACAAATTATTGTTTGTAGTGAAGTGCTTCAGGGCATGTAATGGTTTTCCTGTCAGTTCCTTTTATTTTCACTATGGTTTTCTTAAGATAAGTAATATCCGTAGAAGGGTGGGTATAGGATAAAATTTTGGTAATATCCATGTCAGTTGAAGGGAAACCAGCTGGAGAGTTATCTCATGTACTAGCCCTCACTGTTCCCTCTGTTAGCCATCCTTTAAAGGCCGTCTTTTCACATCCTCCTCCCCAACCTCCCGTACCATACAGTCGTGATTGGAAGGATGTGAATCCCTGAAGGATTGTTGTTGCTTGTGGTTCAGGGGCACAACTTAAAAATAAAATCATGACTTAGATATTATGCTTAGACAGTTGCTTTCAGGTTGCAAGTGGCCCTTTCGTATACATCTTTCAGTTCCCTAAGGCTTCTAGTTTGTTATGGTAGTTTACAGATCCAGGTTTGCTAGAATGTGTGGTTGTCTTTTAGCTAATCGTGGTGGTAAATGTTTTTTTCCAGGTCAAATAATTGTTAATATCTGATGACTTAAATGTGTTGACCTGTCCT